AAATAGGAAATGGTAATGTCTTACCACAGACATAACAACATAGAATAAAAACCCCTTGCATTAATAAATACAGTATTTGTATTTTATGTAAAAATTTGAACTATAAAGTCTTTAGCACTCTCCTGAGCACCTTATCAAAGTCTGAGTACAATATGGTTAGGACGAGACTTGCATCTCGACCACTAATACAGTGGCCATCCAGGATCCAATCCTCTTATCCTTCTTGACCTCCTGAGTGAATTAAAATGTCATATTAATAAATTGATGAATCTAAGAAGTCCCAATAGGTGTTCTCCTTCAACCCATTCTTGCACTTGCTTATAGTCAATATTGGCTTATTTAATAAGTGCATATGTGACATACTAATTGATTGATTGTGAATATTTTAGTTTACCTTGAAAAGCTTCATAGAAAACACCGACCTCACCTAACCTTCTTAGTATGTTAAGATAAGCATCTTATTGCTTCTTATTTACAATTATTACTTAACCTATCAACGGTATAGGTTAAGTAATTATTGTAATTAAGAAGCAATAAGATGCTTATCTTAACATACTAAGAAGGTTAGGTGAGGTCGATGTTTTCTATGAAGCTTTTCATGGTAAACTAAAATATTCACAATCAATTAGTATGTCACATATGCACTTATTAAATTAGCCAATATTGACTATAAGCAAGTGCGAGAACGGGTTGTCTCCTTTGGGAATGGAGGGAGTTACAAGGGATAGCATATACTGTAGTTGAATGCCTTTATTAATAACAACTCCAGTTCTCAAGAGTCCCAGAATGACAGAAAGGACAACTGATCATAATTCCTTAGCAGACATCTCCTCGGGAACATTGGCAGTCGAGGATGGAGGTGACATGGTCAAGAGGTCAAGAAAGATAAGAGAATTGTATCCTGTGTAGCCAAAGTATTAGTCAATGAGATGTAAGTCTCTTCCTAACCATATACTCATACCTTGATAATGCACTTGGGAAAGTGCAAGAAACATGGTGTAGTTTGAATCTTTCATAAAATACATACAATATAGACATAAGTGTGGGTTTTTATCCTACATTTTCAGTGTTATACATAATGAACACCACCTTTGACACATCAGTACAACTTAAAAGAATTAAAAATTAAATAAAGTGAGAAGCAAAGATAATACAGTAATTAGACAAAGTTACAGTATTCTCATTTGACACCTTGCCTCATTTCTACTGAAAAAATGCAGCTTCTCTAGGCCACTACAACTGAACCAGAAGAGGTTAAGACTTATACTGTACTTGTATTTTTGTGCTTCCTAGATGATAATTAACAATGCCAAAAGAAAACATTAAAAAAAAATTAACATCGTGATCAGAAAGAGCCTCGGAAGAAGTAAAGGTAAATAAAATTGTTGGGTCAGTGGAAGGCCTTGCAATCAAAGACAATGTTTGTGATTACAGAAGAACTGGCAAATATAAATAAAAGGAAATGTTCACTCCTTAAGGGTTAACCTAAATGGAGCTAAACAGATGGAAGAAGTGGTCACGAATATTTGAAAATTAACGAAGTGGCGAGGCTGGGAAATTGTGGTAATTAAAATGAGGCCTATCAAACGAGGACACAGAGAAGGCTGAAATTGAACCTTGAAGCAAAAGATTAAATTAGGGTAGGAATGAGAGATTTTTTTTTTTTTTTTTTTTTTTTTTTTTTTTTTTAACAAGTTGATAGAAATCATGGCGCCTGTGAAATTGTCTATGAAAAGCAAACCAATAAAATCATTAGTGGAAGGAAGAGTGAAGGGCAGAGGAGGAGGAGAATGAAACATATTGAAATTTTGTGTAGCAACATAGATGAGGTGAGACAAAAATGCTGGAGTTAAATGATATAACAAATCTTAAGAAGCCACATATTGTCACATTACAGTATTTTATTTATCTATACAAGAGCTCTCACATTCTTGTAAAGCCACTAGCACACAGCGTTTTAGGCAAGTCCTTAATCTTAGTTTTCCCCGGAATACGACTGCAAATCGTTTAACAGTTAGGTACACATTCACTGCAGGGTGAACAGAGGCTACAATTAAGGATTGGCCCCCAGTCAATCCTCCCAGGCCAAAGTGCCGGGTGAGTGTTTGACCACAGTGCCACGGGGACTAGATAAAGTTGAAAAATAAATGAGATGGCATTCCTGAGGGGCTATAACATGGGGGGTAATGGAAATGATACTTTATAGATATAAAGTATAATATATAATATATATATATAATTATTATTATTATTATTTTTGCTACCACAGACGTGGCCACACATTTACAATGCTAATCAGCATATATACGTTTTCTTCTGTCCTCCATGGACAGGGTGAGAGATTTGTCAAACATATAGTTCAGGGATTTATTGAACAATCAACCACAGAAGGTGACCGTAGTGCTTTTAAAATGCTAGGCTAAGCTACATACGTAAATATGACTGAGGTGACGTGCACCCTGCTGCATCACCACCTCACTTCCAGTTAAGTTAATTATTTTAACTTACTTGACTGGGCTTACTTCAGAACAGATAATAGTATGAAACCAAACATTTTATTCCGTTCATTTATTACACCTGTCCACAAACATCGGCAACAATTACATCAATATTAGCCACCACACATGAATGTCAATATGCTCCACAAAACAATTCATCAAAGCCCTCGGACTCTATATCCACCAGAGCCCACAGACTCGGTATCCACCAAAGCCCACAGACTCGGTATCCACCGGAACCCTCAGACTTTATATCCGTTAGTTGTAGTTGGTTCCAACTATCGTATCAATGTTGATGTTGGTGTTATCAAACACGTCAGGAAAATGATTTAGGTACCACTAGGTTCTGGGTGTTCAAGGGCTTAAAAATAACTTAATTTCTTCATATGATACACAAAAGCCCAGAGCAAAGATGATATTCATAAGGTATTTAGAACCAAATATTTTATACCTTGCTTAACAATGCTGCCCAAAGACCAATTTGTAGACAAGAATTTTTTTTAATTTCAGTAAGGATTGCGTGTAATATTGACAAGACTTTAGTTTTCCAACGGTCCTCTGTTCCTTTATTTTCGTTCTTTAAAATTAGCGTTTCCTGGAACAGATGGAGAGATTCAGTGATATCAGTTTCAGCAGTATCAAGGAATGAAGTTGTTGAAGGGTATTTATTAATTTCATATAATTGGGATGTAATTAACCTCCCTAACAATTTCTGCACCAGCTTGATCTGTACAAAAACGTTCTTCCTTCCTTTGTGTATTGTAGAAATTGTCTGTCAGAATCTTATGGGGAGTATCATGAAAACAAATGGTTGGTTCTCTATTATGTCCAGAAGTGATAATGATATTTTCATTGTAAATTATATAAAAGCCTGCTTTTGATTGTCTTGTCAGTAGGTACATTGCCTTTGAAATCTTGAAACACTTCCACTGAATTGGAATTGACATTCTGCTCATTGTGCCCTGATATATGAATCAACCTCTTGAGCTGCTTTGGTTACGTCTTCATTTTCAGGTCTGCCTTTTACTTTGTCACCTTTTACTTTTTGCACTTGATTCGTGGGGTCCCGGTAGTACTGTACAGTCATGTTCGTTCTTGACGCAGAATTGAGAATTTTGGGTTAGAATCCTGGGCAGGATGGAAATGGTTGGGCACATTTCCTATCATCTCGTGCCACCGTTCACATAGCAGTAAATAGGTACCCAGGAGTTAGTCAGCTTGTTCTGGGGTTACATCCTGGGGAGGGTCAGGAATTCAACCCTGGGGAGACCTCAGTATAAGCCTAACATGTACTGAATGTATAAACTGGTTGCCTGTCCCCCATCACACTGAATTAATATTATTATTAGTAGTATTATTGTTTTATTATTATTATTATTAGTACTGTAGTAGTAGTATTAGTATTATTATTATTAGATTGTCTTAATGTTTTTAAGTTCTCTTTCTTTAATTTCAATAATATAATTTGAAAGACTTTTCACAAATGAAGCACAAATCTGAATCCATTTAAAGTTACAAAAATATTTTTTAATTACAGTAATATAACTACAGTATAATAACACAAGTATTATTATTTGCTGTAATAAAAGAGTAATACAGTCAGACTGTTGTCCAGTCTTACTGTTGTCCAGTCTTAAAACAATGATTTACTAATTATGGCTTACTATTAGAAATTCCTATAATCTTATGTATAGTACTTAAGAACAAAGCATGCAGTAAACAACATTTTAATGTGCCAAAAGTCTATTTACCTAGAAATTAATGATAATTATTCCGATCTTTTTCTTGGAAACTGTTAAACCTACTTAAAACATGCTAAGGACTATTTTTGCAGAGAATAAAATTTCCTTTTAGAAAGTATTTGTTACCTATTTAGCTTAAACTGATAGGAAACAAGATTTTGACAAAAACACATTTTCAGTGCCATTTTTTCAAAGATGGAGGCTAACACAGTTTCCAGCTTTCTGGGAATTTTGTCTGAATTGCCAATATTTTTTGGCTTAATTGACTGGGCTGTTTGGCTGTAGACCAGTGTTTTATTTTACTCGGGAAACCCAGTCAGAATTTCCACTCTCATCACATAACTGTACATCATCCATTGCTGTGGAAGGCAGAGTCACGACCACGCATGTTCCGGGGCCAGGCCTCTCAAATCCTCCAAGTCTCGCCCAGCAAGTTTCTCGGTCAGACAAGACTACAGCTTTATATACAGACTTCATTCTAAATCCCATCCCCTTTTTTCACACCATGATGGCATAAAAACGTGTGTACAAGCCATTTCAACCCTTCCAAGCACCTGACTCAAGCCCAGACTCACAGGCCTCCCTTGTCTGTTCTCCACCTGCAGGTGTTGACCACTACATTACTTATGGGCTATCACAACATAAATGAGTCTGAGGTCAGTGTGCCCTCTCACTCAAAGCAAACATCTACTTACCTCTTCCCTAACACATCTACTCTTTTCCTCATATTCTCATCTTATACGAGTCCCTTGTCTTACAGGGCTACTCAATTTGAAGACATGAAAGAAAAGATTAGAAAAGGTGGAGGCGTTGCTGTGCTGGTGAAAGAAGAACTAAAGGTAAGATAATTAATACTTGACAACATATGAGAAGTTGATATAATGGCACTGGAGATCTGTAATCAGGTCAGTAAGCTGATAATCATTAATGCCTACAGTTCACCAGCAAAAAATACATGGCCAAAGGAAGAGCTAGATGACAAATGAGAGGGCTTTATAATAATCATGTTAGAGATTACAGTGAAAGCAGATAAAAATTAAATCTTTATTGGTACTTGGTGACTTCAATTTGAAATCAATAGACTGGGAGGCCTGTGAAACAAGAATGGAGAACATTTGGACTGGCAGACTTATAAATCTCATCCTGGAAACATTCATACCTTGAGGTGCTTTCGGGGCTTGGCGTCCCTGCGGCCCGGTCGTCGGCCAGGCCTCCTGGTTGCTGGACTGATCAACCAGGCTGTTGGACGCAGCTGCTTGCAGCACAGCATTTATGTATCAGAATGTTCAACAGGCCATGAGAATGAGGGACAGGCATGTTCCATCAATGCTGAATTTGATATTTGCCAGGAAAGAAGAAATATTTGACCTTTGGTAACTTCCTCCATTGGGTAAGAGCAACCGTATCCTTTTGGAAATTAAGTATTCAGTGCCTTGTAATCTAGAAGAGAATGGGGAAAATGAAGTGGTTGAAAACCTGACATCGAGAGAGAGAGTAAACTATGGGGAACTTAACAAGCAAAATTTGATTGGAAAGATTTGTTGTTAGGCAAGGAAGTACTGTAAATGTCAAATTTTCTAATGATAAAAGTACAGTATACAAAAATTTATACCAAAATTGAGATGCCAAACTGGAAAACGGGACTGGTTCAACAGAAATTGCATGAGGGCCAGAAGACCAAAAAAAATTTTGAATCATTATAGGAGGAGGCCTAACTCATACTAGTAATACAGTACAGACATCCAAGAAACGTTTACATAGCAGGGAGAAGAGGGGTAGAAAGATACTTTTGAGAAAAGGATAGCCGACATGTAAAGCAGAACCCAATGAAAATCCTTTAGATACAGCTTATCCTTTACATACAACTTGCTATTTATGAATACTGTATTGGATACAATCCCGAGATTAAAAGATGAAGAACAGATTCATAAATTGAAAAGTTTGTGAAATGCTACATGAGCATTTCCAACATATGTTAATGCAAAATGAGGTTTTCAGAGAACAAAAGACAATGCAGATTTCAGAGCAGCAGCAGAGAAGACGTTCTAAATTACTTACCTGTATTGCTGGCAATTGTTATCAAATCGCTACAAAAATAATTAAAATCAAATTGTTAGGATACCTTTGAAGAAATTAAATTAGAAAAGACAGTATTTTTCAAACAGAACGATCGTGTGTAGTAAAAATAAACATTATTTATATGTAAAAGAATTCTTACATTCTTGTAAAGCAACTAGCATGCATAGTGTTTCGGGCAAGTCCTTAATCATAATTTTCCCCGGAATACAACCCGTCAAATCGTTTAACAACCGATTCACTGCTGGGTGAACAGAGGTTACAGTTAAGGATTGGCGCCCAGTTAATCCTCCCCGGCCAGGATACGAAACCAAGCCAAAGCGCTCACAAAGCGCCGCCGAGTGTTTTACCATTGCTCCACGGGGACTGCAGACTGGGGAAATCTACTTTGCCTTTATGATAGAAGCACAGAGATCTTAAAGGAAATATACTGTTCAGGTGACTACATCAATCTGGACTGAAAAATAGTTTTTGACAGAGTTCTACACAAGAGTGTGTTCTGGAAGCTAGACTATGATGGATAGATAACAGGTAGACTAGAAATGGCTGAACAATTTCTGACAGAAACATGAAGGCAGTAATTAGAGTCAATGTATAAGACTGGAAAAAGTGTTACTACCAGAGTACCACATGGTTCAGTATTAGCACTAAGACAAGGAATTTTTTTCTTTGCAATGCCTTGAGGAAACCTCAGTGTCTGGAAACCTCAAATCAACAAAGGGGATATTAATGGAGTACAGTATTAAAAGTATCAACACAAGACAGAACGCGAAACAATGGATATAAATTGGATAAGTTTAGATTTAGGAAAGACTTGGGTAAATACTGGTACGGTAACAAGGTTGTTGATTTGTGGAACCAATTACCACGAAACGTAGTGGAGGTGGGGTCCCTCGATTGTTTCAAGTGTGGGTTGGACATGTATATGAGTGGGATTGGGTGGTTATAAATAGAAGCTGCCTCGTATGGGCCAATAGGCCTTCTGCAGTTACCTTTGTTCTTATGTTCATGAAACATACAATACTTACATATCCTGAATAATACTACAAAACAGCAGAGCTTTTAAATTTTATTTGGCAGTGTAGATTAATTGGGTAAATGTTTAACTAGTGCTGAATATGGGTCCTAACATCCCCCCCTCCCTAAGGCATGGTATTGGTATTCAAATCTAATTTAAAATGTAAATACAGTAATACCATTATGGAAACAGTAATATGTTTTTTAGAAGAGACATGTAACATTGTTTTTTTTTAATTTACATATTCAAGAGTTCTTACATATTTGTAACTATAAAATGCCACCAAAATCATATATGTATATATATAATAATTTCCAAGATATTAACTAAAATATGAAGGTGACCAGATGCAAAACACTATGTACTTTGTCTTAACCTCCACCTCCCTGCCCCCCCCCCCTTCCTTCTTGATATGTGGAGAATAATTTTGCCAGTACAGTACCATATAATCATACTGTAATCATGCGTTTCATTGTCTGTGTTATACCACCTTCGTTTCAGTAATAATGGGCAATATTCCTGTAACTTTTTGTAACATGCAGCATCTGGCTCTTAATGGCCTACAGGTTTCCCAGGTGGCTGGTTTCTAGTCTTAGGTACCCCCATTGTCTGGTGGCTCGTTCCTCCCCCCCCCCCTCCCACCTATCAAGCAGGCATTTATTTATATTTATTTATTTATTTATTTATTTATTTATTTATATATACAAGAAGGTACATTGGGATTGTGAGGATACATAGCATAGTAATTACATTCTTGTAAAGCCACTAGTACGCGCAGCGTTTCGGGCAGAAACGTTCGGGCATCTTTAAAGATTAAGATATTAAGAATTGATGTTACCTGGTGTTTATATATGTTTGATGACATTTTTGTTTGTTGTCCTCTCTTCCCCCTATTATTCCAGACACCAATTTTGTCCTACAAATTCCTGTTTGTTGGCAGTGTAGACTACTAGAGTAAATGTGTCATAACTTGGGAACCACTTAACTGTTTAGTTCTGATATTAATTTGTAAGGCAGCGTGGTGTGTTTGTCAAGCACGTGGCATTTTTCATTTAATTTTATGGTCTGTTTGGTGCCTTATTGTGTCTTTGAAGGAAGAATGATCAATTTTACTTTAGGATTAGTTACATTGGGAATATACCAGTTGTTTTCAGATAGTGGCATTTTATGGTAGCTGATATTGATATTGTAATATCTTGTGATATATTCTGTAATGTAGGGTTTGATAAATCAGCTTTCAGTTTGCTTTTTACTGTTGGCACATTTGTTTGCATGTGGATCTGAGGAATTAGTGTGGCACATGGCTTATTTCCTAGAGTAGTATGATAGCATTTGTTGATAAGGTGTCTTTGCTGGTCGTATGGAGTGTACTCGCCTAGTTGTGCTTGTGGGATTGGGCTTTGGCTCTTTGGTCCCGCCTCTTAACTGTCAATCAACTGGTGTACGGATTCTTTAGCCTACTGGGCCCTATCAAATCTATATTTGAAACTGTGCCTCAAATCTGCCTCCACCACATCACTGCTTAATGCTTTCCATTTGGTAACTACAGTGTGTATTCTGACACTGAAAAAATTCTTTCTAATGTCTGTGGCTCATTTGGGTACTAAGTTTCCACCTGTGTCCCCTTGTTCGTGTTCCCACCCATGCTAAAATTTGTCTTTGTCCACCCTGTCAATTCCCCTGAGAATTTTGTAGGCTGTTGTCATGGCCCTTCCTTAATCTTCCGTTTTCCAGAAGGGGTTAAATGAGATTAAGCTCCCTTGGCCTTTACTCGTAGCTCATTTTTTAGTTCTGGGACGAGTCTGTTGGCATACCTCTAAATCTTCTCTAACATTGTCTTGTGTTTAACTAGGTATGGACTCCAGGCTGGAGCTGCACATTCCAGGAGTGATGTGCCATACATGATATACAAATTCCTGAATGATTCCTTACACAAGTTTCTAAAGGCAATTCCTTTTGTTGGCCAATCTAGCATATGCCGCTAATGATATCCTTTTGATGTGGGCCTCTGGGGACAGGTTTGGTGTGATATCAACCACCAGATCTTTCTCTCTATTTGACTCTTGCAGGATCTCACCTCCCAGATGATACCTTGTGTTCAGCCTTCTCCTTCCTTCACCTAATTTCATTACTTTACACTTTCCTGAGTTAAACTTTAGTAGCCATTTTCTAGACCATTCCTCCAGTTTGTCCAGGTCATCCTGTAGTCTCTGTCTAAATTCCTATGTCTTGAATCTTCTCATATTTTTTGCATCATCAGCAAACATTGAGAGGAATGAGTCTATAACCTCTGGAAGATCGTTTACATATATCAGAAACAGGATGGGTCCAAGTACAGTGTCTTGTGCGACTCCACTGGTGACATCTCACCACTCTGTCTTTCCCCCCCCCCCCCTCACAGTTACTCACTGTTTCCTGTTGCTTAGATACTCCCCTATCCATTGGAGAACCTTACCTTTTACTCCTGCCTGTTGCTCCAACTTTTGTAACAGCCTTTTATGGGATACTGTGTCAAAGGCTTTCTGACAGTCCAAGCAAATGCAATCTGCCCACCCTTCTCTTTCTTGCCTAATTATTGTTTCTTGGTCATTGAATTCTATTACACCTGTGAGGCACGATTTACCATCTGAACCCATGCTAGTGGTGTGTTACAAAGCTATTTTCCCTCCAGATGTGTTATGTGGTAGTTGGTGAATGCATCTGTCACTTAGTTTTCTCACACATTTAAACTTGCAAGGTACTAGT